TCACTGGCAGTATCTGAATTATAGGATACTTGAGCTCTGTAAAACTGCCCTTTGTCCTGCTCCAGTCTGAAGCCAGGGCTTTTTTCCTAGGGAAAGAGGGGGACTCTTGTGCACCCGGGTCATCTTCTGGCAGGTAGTCAGGGCTAGAAGGTTTACTGTATTTGGGAAGCATTCCTGGGTTTCTCTTTTTAGATTTGGCTTTTCAGTATGGTGAGATTTGCATATGAGTGCCTGTGAGGACTCTGCTGTGAAAGGGTCTGGGTAGTGTATTTTTTATATCCTTTGTTTTATGCAGAAACAGACACCGGTTCATGGACACTGTTAAGAGATGTGCACTTTGCCATGTCTGGTGAACACTGTGCCATCTGTGAAATGACTGCAGAACCTGGCAGCCAAGGTTGGTTTACTACAGACAAGAAGAGGTATAAGAATATCTGATAAACACATCTTCGGGTTTCTTCTACAGCTGGAGAAACTAGCAATGAATGGGCACAGAAACTACTTGGTCTGTTCTCCATACAGTGTACATTTGCTTTAGAGATCAGGTTTCTTTTGTGTCCTGTTCTGGCTGTATTTGAAAACACGTAAGAGTCAAGATTATGGCTGCCTGCAATGAGAAGGCTTTTCAGTAATGTTAAAACTACCCCTTCCCAGTGATTTACCGGACTCTTACTAGGGTCAAAGCATGGACTTCCTTCTTTCATGAATAAAGTAGGTCTGTACTGTTTCTTATATTTCTCAAACTCCATGTCTGCTTTGGGAAGGACCAGTTTTCACCTTTTGATTTTCCAGCTCTAACCAGCCTTATTCTGTCTGTAACATTTTTTCCCCCTAGTCATGTATCTCTATTTTTATGGATATGATAAGGAAAGAGCTAGGAAAGTGAATTTTATGTTTATTCCCCCACCATTCTCCAAACTGTTAGGAAATCACATGGGGGAAGTCATCACTGCCACATGCATTCCATAGGAAGCATTCAATTCTATTTTAAGTCTGTGCCTTAAGTACTCCATATACATTTAGGATTCATTCCTCAGCTCTGTGAAACTGCAGGCTAATTCCCAGGGCTTAGAAACGGAATACTGTTTTTATGGGGATGCCTAGTCACTGGGAAAAGTGCTCCTCACTATTACTTTACATTCTTTCTCTACTGTTGTGTTTCTGTCTCTCTGTTTCATAGCATGGTTCATGCTGAAAAAGGATCATCCAGTTCCAACCCCCTGCCATGGGCAGGGACACCTTCCACTAGACCAGGTTGCTCAGAGCTGCATCCAACTTGGCCTTGAACACTTGCAGGGATGGGGTATCCATGGCTTCACTGTGTCTCACCACCTGTTTTCCTGTCTGTGCATTTCCCTACAGCAGTTCTCCTAAATTTACACTGTGTGTTTCCCTCCCACTCCCTTTTCTATCTTTTAAAGTGGTCAGCAATTAAATTGCTACGATTATATTACTTGGATACTAATTATTGTTTCATATTCTATATATTTATAAACTACTCTGGCTGTGCCCTTAATATGGGGCTGTTGTGGGCCTCAGGGGTAAATGCAGTAACTAAGAAGCTTAGCACCAATAATTTCCAGAGTTCTCCAGACATGTTTACTTCTATGGCTGGAGGAGCTTATATTTCTCAGAATGTGTTTGCACTTGGAAAGAATCTGGAAGTCTTACCAGACAGATCTTATTGTTTTTAAATGTGTTTTAAAGCATTTAGTTTGTTGTTTTCTTTAGGGGGAGGATCTATTTTGGGGTTGAAGAGATTAGGACGAGGCTTAAAATTAAAAACACCTCACGAAGACCAGTTATTTAATGGTAACAGCACTTTCCTTTCAGAAAACCTTGCATTAGGTTCTCTGGTTTTGCAGGTATGGACAGAAGAGTGTGGGATGGTTTTTCTCAAGGGTAACTGCCGTGGCCCTAGTGCTATAGAGGGTGAGGTTCAGGTGCCATTGCAGTTGTGAGACTGATCAAACTTGAGTATTTTCTTTCATGAATTTTCCTTCTTTCATAATTCAAACCACAAGAGGGCACTGAATATTCTTGGGAACTCTAAAAAAGTATTTAAGGGTGATAATTCACTAAGTAGTTGCGCTCCAAGACACTATTATATACGAGTTTTTTATCCAGATGTTTAATAAATCTTTTAGGTGTTTTTGTTTTTTGGTTTTTTCTTGGTTAAGAGACTGGCTGGGCTCATTCCAATCTAGAGAAAGAGAATATTTCGAACTTCAGAACTTCAGACTTATATATTTTCTGTGCTTTATGATCTGTGGCAAGAAAACGGTGTTCCCCCAGGACTCCACGCTGGGAAGGACGGAGTGCTCCTCAGTTCACGAGTGAGCATAAAAGGTTACACGTTCGTGCATTTGGTTGCTAGACCTTCCCTTCCCCGAGGGCGTTCTCCAGAGGTCTTCAAAACTAAGGCGCTGTAGTGCAGACAGGAGTCACACGGGGGCAGCTGAGGACTGATGGATTCCGTGAGAGCTACAACGGGGGGTAGTGCTGATTTTTGAGTTTTTGCTTTCTGAAACTGCACACAGGTCCTCGCCCTCGCTAATTCCCTCTGCCGCGGTGGTGAGGTCCAGCCGGTGCCCAGTGCAGGTATGCGTCGTTATCAATTCACGATGGTTTGGGGTTGTTGCAGTCCTCGGGTATGAAGAGAGGAATTCTCCCAGCTAAGGCTTATCTCCGTCATCTGAGAAAGAGCTAAGTATCCCTAGAGTATGTTTCTGCAGTGGGATGGTACTTAGTGGCCAGCTACAGCCACTTAGGTAGCTGCCCGTCAGTGACAGCTTGTTTTCACACTGTAATCTGATTCATATTTACTCTGAAATACGTCTGTGTGAAAACATGTCAGACGTGATTCAGATCCCTGTGAGAGGGAGAGAGGTGTAATCCTGTATGACTAGTTATTTAATTTATGAGATATTGTTTTCTCACGCACACACACAAAATAATGATTAAAGTATGTCTGAAGTGGCAGTGGGCAGAATGGTATGCAATGTTATACCCAACCTTCTGCTGTTTGCTTTTCAACCTTGCTTTTTAATTTAGCTGTAGCTAAGCAATGTGAAGAAACTGAAGGTCTGCTTAATTTTTTAAAATAAACTCTCAGTCAAAGCAAACCTGTCTTATTTGCTCCTCTGCAAGTAGATGGAACACTTGTATTTGATATCCGGTGTAATTTTCACTTTCTTACATTATATCCCACGTGACACTTACTAGGTTTGTAAACATTGGAGTTTCCTAACTTGAAATATTTGGATGTTCAACTTGAGGCATTTTGGATTTGATTGAGGGTCTCTTATCTTGCAGGTTTATCTGACAACTCTTATCTTCGTTGGTGCTTTTGCCTCATCAGCCAAGGAGATACTATTGCAGTGTTATCTTGGTTTGGGAGATAACTGGAAAAGTGAAACTAATTTGTGCAAGATAATGCAGGAAGCTTGAGACAGGGCAAGGACCATCCACTATCTGAGAGTATGAGACCATCTGAATATCCTCATACTCTTTTACATTTGGTCTATATGCACTTTGGAGTGGGATATGTAGTACAGCACTTTTCATATTATGTAATGAATTCATATCTCTTGAAGCTGACACTGAATTTTGTAATCAGACAGGTTCCACCAAAATGTCAATGAGCAACCATGAATCACCCGTTTGCTGAGCAGTATACAGATAGTACAATTACCAAAGCATTTGTGCTGACTTACAGAAGATTAATAAAACTATTCAAATATGAAACTACCGACCAAAAATTCTAGAAAATCACTGTATTTATAGGATTAATTTTACTTGGGTTTATGGTTCCATGTAGTTAGCTAGTATTGTGTTTTGAAATTAAGTTCTTTTGGCTTTTAAAAAAGCATTCTTGCCCTCCTATACTTCACTCATTTTTCCCAGTTTCTCTGCCCTCATTACTGTCTCTTCCCAGATTATTACCCACAGATGTAGATTTACAAAGAAGAATAAAACAGGTGATATTTGCCGGCTCTATTGGATGATGCCTGATTAATGTTCTTCTGCAGCAAGGTAGAGGGAAAGCACTGCAGTATCTTTATTACCTGTGCTGTGGTAGTACCCAATGGCAACAATGCTACTGGGAAGGCATGGAGAGACGATACCTGTCCAGGAGAATGTGCAGTCTGCTCTGTGGTGCTCCCCATCTGTCTGGTGCTCGCAAAGTGAACTCAGCAGGAGATCCAAGTGGTCACTGCAGTGCATCTGCAGCAAGCTCCACAACACGTTCTGATGTCTCTCCTTTTCATTGTTTCTACTAGCAGCTTGTGAGCCTGTGGAAAAAGAAATGTAATTGACTGGCAAAAGCTCAGATTTTGCAGGTGTCTCTTACAGTTACTCAGGGCTCATTAGATAGTTTAGCACCCATAAAAAATGTGAAATATGTTTAAGGCAAAGAAGTGCAAGAAAGGAAAAAGCAATCGACCAGTTAAAGACCTGCTCCTTCTCATTTGCATTTAATGTTTTTATTTTTCTTCAAACTCAGAGCTTGCAATTAGGATACTGGTGGAGTCTGCCTACAGATCAAAATGTTAATGGAAATAACATCCTTGAATTCCACAGGTCCCTGAATGTATCAAGAAAGGACATGCATTACTTTTGGCTATATGTTAAGGAAAGTTACATGTTAAGGAAACTTCCCAGTCTCCCAGTCTGACCATTTGTGAGACTCTCTGGCAGTCAATCTGCATTTCAGTCTGCAGCTTGCAAGCTGAGCTACCTGGGCCAGATGTTTTCCTCAACATATATACCCTCTGCAATAAAGACATAAACTAAGACCACCATTCTTTTTGTTCATCTGAAAATTAGCACTATCCAAATAACTTGCACTACCCTTTATTAAGTCATCTCAGTAATACTCAGTTATTTCTGACTGTGAGCCTGTCTCAGAAGTATGATATGGCTGTTTTCATCTGCTAAGAAAAATGCAAGGAATCATGTAGGAAAACCCCTAAGGAAAAGAAGGGGTAAGAATATTGCCTGAACACAGACAGCCAGTCAGTGATAAAGCAAAAAGTTTGTCATTGTAGAGAACAGGATAACAAAAGTAGATAAGGCCTGTCGAAAAGATCTTCTGTGATTAGACAGAAATAAAACTTCCTGAAGACTGCACATCTATTTATTAATTTCTCCTCAACATGTAATAAAAAAAATTTAGCTGCTTCACTGAAATTTCTGCCAAGAGCTTCTATCTTGAAAGTCCTAATGTTCCATTGTTAACATGTTGTTTACTTTTCCATTGCATCTTGTTTTATTATACCAACCAGATAACTGGTTGAGGTGTCAAAACTGAGTTTATTTAATGAAAAAGAGGTGTGAGTTGGAGGAAAAATGGGTATATGGATGTATTGTACAATGCAGGGTTGGCACATAACTTTTGTACCTTCTCTGTTTGTTGTCACTGTATGCCAATTCCAACACCACCACCTCTTTTCTTCAAGTAACTCACTTTTTAGCCAGTCCTGAGAGTGGCAATGGTCATGACACAGAGGTTGATACAGCCCTTCATCCCTCTGTCTACCACTGACAAAAGGTTGATGTGAGGTCTCAATAGTGGTTGATGCAGCTTAGAAGTGGGGAAGAGGGAACAGAGAACAATTGTGTTGATTATTTGTGTCTAAAGAGGACCAAAGCAGTAGAAAAGCAGAGTTTTAGGCTTTCTTCCAACACCAAATAGCAAGGCCAAAATTTTTCCATTTCTTTTGAGTTCATCATCTCAGGAAAACCCTTGTAAGGTACTATAATCAAGGAATACTGGATGCAGCTGCATTAGTATTTTAATTTTGATCAGGACTGTATTTTTTAAGCAAGTGTTATCATCATGTTTTTTCATGGTTACCCTACCATGCTTTAATTTGCATCACAGAGCAGTTTTGGGGTGTCCAAATTGAATTCCTTTGTTTTGAAAATAAGCCAGACATATGTTCTGCAGATTCCTGCCTAACGCAGTCCAGTTGTCCTCACTGATGTTCTGTCCTTGGGATCAAATCAGAGCCAGACCAAAGTAGAGCCCTTTGAGCTGTGTACAGCGTAGATGCCAGGTTCTTGCCACCAGGTGTTTCAGTCTATTAACCTGTTCCAGTTGGTTTGAAATAGTTGGTAGTGTGGACATCACCAATCTAGAGAGCCTCCAAAAGAAGAGCTACCATCCTCTCTCAGTAGCTGGAGATGACAGCATGCAGAATTCAAGGACCACTGAACTCATAGAAGAAATCTTGACTAAAAGAGCATTTCAGCCTACCGAGCATCACTGATTTGAGAGCAGCTGACATCAGTGATATTGGTGAGTAGAGGATTACAATATTTAGCTACTTTGGTAGAAAAAGACCCTAACTTTGTAAGAACAACAAGTTTCTGCAACTGCTACTTCTCAATGCATCAGCAATAAGTAAGTATGGATCTGAGTAGCTGGAAATGGCTTAAGTGTCTTTGTTACTCTTTCTTTCTTTTTTGTTACCTCTGATACTTAAAATGTTGTGCCAAATGTTATTAATTTTGATATAATAATTTGAGAGCCTGTGTTTACTATACAAAATCTAAATTTAAATTTCATGATGGTCTATCCAAGTACTTGGTCTGGGAAAATAAAAGGTTATCAAAGCCTGATCATACAATTACCACAAGTACGTGCAGTTTAAGTGTGAGAAGAAACTATGGCAGTTTCAGCACTCACTGACAGGTAGGAAGTAGAAGAGATGATTGGAGTTGGAAGAAACACCCAAGAGTCACAGGCAGTGGTGAGTGGTGATAGTACAGTGGTACTGTCATTTTAAGTATTAATTTGCATGGAATCTTTAAATGATCCAGAAGGATACCATGATTTGACGTGGTGACAAATACAGTGTCTCAGATCTATCAACAGTAGAAATAAAATTGCATTTTCCAAAAGCAGCATACTGAAATTATATTGCTGACAGATTTTTTTTTTTTTTTTTACGTACACACACTTCTCATTTTTACTTCCGGTCAAAAAATGCATAACTATTATTGTATTAATGGCTTACTTGCCAGGAGTCTTGCTAGTTTTCTGTTGTTCAGAAGGTTTTAGAACCAGGTTTATTCATTGAATCACAGGATGACTGAGGTGGGAAGGCACCTCTGGAGATTGCCTAGTCCAATTCCCCTGCAGCGTCCTTGTAGGGTCATGTGCATCGCTCAGGTCTGTTTGATTGGGTTTTGACTGTCTCAAGGATGGAGACTCCACAGCTTCTCTGGGCAACTTGTTCCAGTGCTTAAAACTCCCTGGAATAAAAACCAAATTATTTCTTAAAAGTTCTTAAATTTAAATGGAATTTTCTGTATTTCCTAAAGTGTGCCCATGTCCCCTGTATTTCCATTTTCCTTGTTTCCATTTCATCCTGTATTTCAGGTTGTGTCCAATCCTTTTTCTCATAGCAGTAATAAAGTTAAGATGGACTTCGCTTACCTGACAAGAGAAAGGTAGTTAAGTTAATCGTTGTTGGGAGGACAAAGGTTTTGGTTTATGATACTTACTGCCTTAAATACCAAGTTGGTCTAAAATTCTGTCCATGCAACTGCTGACTAGAGAACAACATGAACTGGTTTTCTGTGTCTCTGCCTCTAACTTGGCTTCTTCTTCAGGTGGTCTGGAGTCTGGTAAGAAAACAAAGAATATATATTCTTTATATGGTTGAATAAGTAATGTAGCTTAAGATGAGTTTGAGAGGAAAGCTATTAATTGTGTTGATTTTGCAATATAAGAATTCTATTATCATCTGCATTAGAGAGAGAGAAGATTTCTTGTTTCCTGGGGGAAAGTGTTGCTCTTTTTCATAGATCTGGCTGTACATAGAAAGAGCTTATCTTGTGTTCCCTATCTAACCAAGTTGTTCACTAGTACTCAAAGTGCCATTACCAAAATAACAAGTCTGGGGTTAGAAACAAAATGAGTATAGAAATATATTTCACTACTCCACATTTAAATGGATTTTTTTTTTTCTGTAACACAATATATTTGGTATTGAAAGTGATGCCTTTCTAGCCACTGGATATACTTGGAAATGACTGCTCCCTGTTCCTCCAATCCAGCTGAAATATTTAAGGTCAAAAAGTAACAGATGAGATTTGTGTATTTCCTGTCTTTTGTAGTGAAATATAGCGTTTTGGTCATGTTGGGATGCTTTCTTGTAGAGGTCAGGAATTTTTGGTGATGCACAACATAATTAGTTTGGAGAACAGAGGTTGTTGAAAGTTTGTTTCCACTGTTTACAGTGTCAGGGTAATCTACAGTGTAAGGTATTACTTTTTGTGACATGATCTAAGTGCAATAAGATTATCTGAGTTATGCAACTTAACTATTTGATTCTGTGAATCCACCTCCTGTATCTTACTGTGGCAGCCTTGTATTCTTCCTCTCCACTAGCACAAGCTCATACATCTCCCTAGGTCAAGAGCTCAACCTCACACTCCCAACTTTCCCATAGTCCTCCTGTACCCCCCACTACCCCAATCCCATGCATCTATTTCCATTACCTGTTCCTCTTCCCCAACCTTTTGGAAACTCAAATCTCAGCCTTGTTTAGATTCCACTGCAGGCTGTGTTAAAGCCCGTAATAGGTGATGCAGGGTGCTACTAACATCTACAAGTTATCTCACATCAAACTGATTCCTAATAACCAGGTCTTGTGTGAGAGGGGCTTCTGATCACTAGGGCTAATTATTAAATTTCCATATATCCTATAGCCAGGAAGAGCTTCTTTCATATTTCTGGATGCCAATACTAAAATGATATAGCCTGAAGAAAACAGTGCTAAGTTAGGGTGTCTCATCCAAAGCGGTTGAATATATTCCATCTGAGGTTTATGGTAAGACAGGGAAATTTTCATCAAATGGTTTATCACATCCTTGAATAGACTTCTAAGCGAGGTGGATCAACTTATGAAGATGCCAGGGCATCATGGTGGTGCCATAGATTCTCTAGGAACATAAGCATTACCCATTTGTTTCTCTGGTGATTACTGAGTAAGTCTACCTACCTAATTTTTACATGACTTCAATAGGTGAGATGTTTCCTATCTGTCCAAGATGCACTTGAATTATTTGCCAGTAAATATGCTTACAAACCAGGGTTTGACCAACCCATCGCTGTATCTTAATTCACACAAACCACGCTGTCCATGTCCAAAGTTAGGAACTGATATTAAAAATGTTCAGAAATTTACGTGAGTAAATAAATTAGATTTCTGTTTGGTACACCTCAGCTTACACAACCTTCCTCTGTATGTGACTATGAACTGTGAATTTGTTGTGTACTTGCAGTACTTCCACAGTAGTAACTTGATAGTAACTACATACAGTTTGTTAGGCTGGTATTGAGACCAAAGTCATTGCCACAGAAACAAATAATACTTGTATGCAGAGATGCTCCCTTTGAAACAGACTGTTTTGGTGTTGAGATTCGCAGGACTAAAGACCTAGGTTTGTTGGGAACGAAGTGGAAAAAAGTGATGGAAGGGATTCCTTCAGTGTAAAACATTCGGTGGCAGTTCTCGGACACCGAGGACCAGCCTGGATTTCGCTGAGTTGCTGAATTTGGCACTGTTCAGTCATGGACTCACTTTTTGATTTGTGCACCAAAGTATGACTGTACTTAGCTACATCGATTTCAGTTTGTGGGCTTTTGCTGCTGCTAGAGGAACTTTTCCAGGAGCTAGCCAGTTCATACCTTTGGCACAGTTATACTTTCTGATTAGTAAATATGAGTGCGTTGTAGTTTATAGTTATTGAAACTGTAGAAACATGTTACTCCCCATTAATGGTTACAGTTCAAAATGGGTGTTACATACTTTGCCCATGTACTTTCAGCTTGTTTTACAAGCTGCACCTACATTTCAAAACTTGAGTATGTGGATACTGTTGCACAGTGATAACAAATTGTCTTATACACTGATAACGAAATATAATGATAAATGTGCAATAAGACTTCTACATGTAGGGGGAGCCTATTGACATCTCAAATATATGGATGATTTGTCCAAAAAAGATGTCTGGGGTTATTAAACTGTATCTGTATACAGTTATATGCTTTTTTTATATGCTTTTTTCCTTTTTTTTTTTTTTCCCCCTGAAGTCCCCTTCAGGAAGAGGAGTTAACCTAAATGATAACTCTGAATAGTTAACTCTGAAATGTGAGATCAAAATCAATCCTTCAGCATTTTCATCTGCAGAATTCTGGAACCAGTTTTTCAATGGACTCGATCAATTTTCTACAATGATACTGGGCTTTTAAGAGTCACCTATCTTAAAATCTACCAAATTTTAAAACCACTCAAAAATGCAAACTGCAGATACAGGGCTGTTTCAGGAGAAATTCAGCCAGGAAAACGATTCTACTCAATGTTTTCTGTAATCAACACTTCAAGGTCAAAATCCTACTTTTAGACTAAGCAAGGATATATGTGGGTGGTACTTTTCATTAAAAAAATTAGGAACTTGAATTTAAAACTCTACCTATTTATATAACACTTAGATATTAAGGATTTGATTGTGCCAGCTGATACGAGGGAGGAATTATCTCTCTTAAAAAGCTATAAACTCTAGCCTATACTTCGTTTTGGCAAAAAAAAGGTTTTCCCCTCTAAGGCAATGATAATAAATTTTTAAAATCGGACAAAAACCGTGAAGGAACAGCTTGAGTTAATTTTAGTTTACGTGAATCAAAATCATAAAATGAGATTTCAAACTTTTGTATTTACAATATTTTTTCTGCCATTTTCTGAAGTTTTTACAAGACAGTCATTTGAGATTAAAAATTAATTTTCCATTACAAAGCTAAAATAGGGCATTCTGACAATTTCAAAGCTCTCTTTCTGAATCTTGAAATTTTATGGAAGGTAGGGTTTTTTTCTGTATTTGGTTAAACTTTTTATAAGAATGCCATAAGTTTTAAGGCTCACAGTTTTTTACCCTCAAAATTGTTCCCATCATTACGTGTCAAAAGTTAGGTGTAGAAGAAAATGTGCATTTGAACTTCACTTGAATATTCTGACCATACTGTTATCTTATACATCATACAGATGGTAGAAATTACCACAATTAATATTCCTGGGAACCACATGGACTTGACTTTTGCCATTTTTCGGCACTCTGAACTTGTATTGGTCATTGTTTCTAATGAGGGTTGCAGATATTTATCACACTGGAAAAAAGAAGTCCTACCTGCAAAACTGCATGTACGGAAAATAAATTATTTATATGAAGAAAGAAAAACATCTCATGCTGTTTTGCACAATTGCTGTTATATCTTACCATTTACTGTGTCTGTAACCTATATTGTCAGGGCTTTAGAATATAAAGATTTTTTTTTTTACCTTCAATTTTTGAACTTTTTTCCAATATAGAAATATAAGACACCCAGTAGTGATTGCTTAGAAAGATTGCTCATGATTTTACTCACTGTGTGAGACATAGTTGTGTAGTATTACATTGAGTATGTCCAAGGCAGTCCAAAATGAAGTGTCTAGTCCAGTAAAGGAATGAAGATTACATTCTATAGGCATGCTATAGCAAGGAAAGTGTTCTATGTGTATCTATCTCATTATATGTCATTATGTCTCATTATGGTCTTTGGACTTTACATGTTGCTGAAAGAGTCTGTGAGTTGTCATTGCATAGGTCAGTGGAGTGCAGATAGGTCACTGAACTGGGGCTGAAGTGACCTGGGCTGTGTACCCAGTCCTTCAAAGTCTTGCTGTGTGATGGCAGACCACTAATCCTGTTCTCTCATCTTCAGCTTTACAATGGAAAGTTAAGCATAAGTTCCATAGGTTCTTCACAGCTGCTGACTAGTAGCAATATTTGATTCCATAGAAACAATAACCTCTTTCCCTCCACCTCCCCTGTTTGTGAAGGACCATTCAGTACTACTTGAGTTGTGAGAGGAAACCTCACACAAGCAGTACTGGGAAACTTACTTGATTACTTGATTCATACTTGTTGGGCAGCCTGAGGTGGGGAGGGCAACGAAGCTGACAAATGAGCAAATGAAGTATTCCAGTCAAATGAGGAGGCAGTGGGCCCAGTCAATCCAATACAAAGCCATGCGCTAAGTGCTGTCAGTTGAGCTTGAAACGCATCTCTAATATTGTAGAGACAGTAACGCGAACTGCATTTCGTCATGTGCCTTTCTAATAATGTCTTTTTTTCTTCCCCCTTCCAGCCTGCTCCAGAGACAACTGGTGAGTTCTGTTTAGAGATCTATTTGTATGCATGGGAGGCAGTCAACAGAACCAGCTGCTCGTAAACATCGCTAGGACAGACACAGATTTATAATTACTGTTATTGTTATTGCATTAATTTTCACACTTCATAAAGATAACAGCAAGGGCTAATGTCCTACCTCACTTGTCTTTTTATTTTTCAGAAGTAGATGTAGATGGAGGAATTGAACGAGACATCTTCGACATCAATGAAGGTTTATCAAAATTCAATTTCTCTTTTAATTCTTTTTGGTAATTTTAATTATATTAGCCACAGATCAATACAATAACCAAATGTGTGTATCCTTTTTCTTTTAGCTTTAGGACTAGACCTTTTTGAGGGAGACATCAAACTTCACGGGGTGAGTTCAAATATAAAATATAAACCCAGAAATGTGTCATTGACTTATATAATGTAAAGTGTCACTGGCATGGAAATGATAGATTTATCCTGCTTCTAGTAACAATAAATGTTGTTTATGTAACAACAAACTGAAGATGTTTGGGGGTGGAATTCTACAAAATGTCATAGACAATGAAGGAGTCAGGAGCATTTGCAGAAACATTATCCAACATGAAATCTGTTTAGCCATTAGATCAATATTATTAACTTCTTGTTTCCTTTACTGTGTTTTTTATGTTTGAGCTTTTAAGAGATTCAGCAGCACTGATCATCATCGATGCAGATTTCTGTATAAAAGATTATTCTTTTATCTGTAAAGTATTTATTTTGAGCCAATTAAATTTACTGAGCAGTGCTGCAAAACATTCATCATATAGATTGAGTAAAACCAATGGAAAAATTAGATCTGTAGTACCACATTTTAAAGCATCTGGCAAGCATCCTTATCTCATCAATTAAAAAAAAATAATTGCATTTACATCTCAAAAATAGCTAGTAGGAAAGCCCTGAAAGGGTCTTGTATTCTGAAGGACAATAGTATTTTACTCTTCCTTTTGGGAGATATGCTTTGGCTGAGCATGTCAGTGGAAGCAAGGACGGCACTTGCTAAAGGCACAGAAACAAACACTTGCATTATGAAAAATTAAAAATTTATTAATACCTGTTCAATTTTCAATACTTTAGATCTTAATGCTTCCCATATGAGCTGAAGCTCCTATGCACCTGTATCAAAAGCTCAGGTAATTACTACGGAGAGAAAGGTGTGGAAGATTGAGACACTGGTAGAAGGGAGTGAAGGGATTTTAAACCCAAACCTTAAACCTCTGAGTTTTTTTGAGTTCATTGTTTTCCTTTATGCTTTACTTGGACTTGTAGGTTTGCTTTAGCACTATTGTAGTCCCTGATGCTAAATCACTTTTTCCTGAGGACTACATATGTCTCTTCTTTCTTGGATGCAGGAACGAAACTCCATCATTGGTGACAACTATCGGTGGCCCCATGTTATTCCCTATGTCCTCGAGGACAGTCTGGGTACAGTATTTGCCCTTGACAATGTCTGTATGTTGTGTTGATTGAAATGTTAAATACAGGTTGATAAAGCTTCTGTGACATCCTTTCCTCTTTTAAGTCTAGAGCAGGCATTTCCCAGAGCAGGAATGGGGCTGAGTGTGCACAAACAGGGTATATAATCTTGGTATTGGTGCTGGCTCTCACCTCCTTTCTTGAATTATTCTGCCATTGCTATGGCCCAGCAGATTAATTTGGTTTTGAAGACTTGTGCCTGAGGCATGAAACTCTACTAAGCAGAAATAAAAAGAGGGCACTGAAGATCTTTTTGAAGCCATTTTACAGCATCTACAGCACTGAAGGCAAAGTGGCATTCTGACAGGCAGAGCGCAATGACACATTGCTGAGTCTCCTAATGTGGACCAGGGATACATCATAGTTTGTCTCCATCCCTTTGAATCCACCTACCTGTGGCTCTGGATGGCAGAGGTGGGCGGTGAGACAGGGAGCTGAAGTTCTTACTGATACCACAGAGGGAAGATTACATGGTTTGGGGTCATCCCCAGTTTAAATTCAGATCTAAGATGGGCTGAAACTATGCAAGTTTCTTAGAGGAGATAACCGAGATATAATGTGAGCAGTTCAAATCCTGGAGAAATTCTGTGAGAGATCTGTAGCCTGCCTTCTGCACTAGGTAAAATCTGATGTCTTCGTTTCCTATTTATTTAATACTTGCTTACATAAGTCTCAAAAAAAGTAAATGAAAGAATTTACAAAATTAAGACCTACGCACTATCATATTTTATATACTCATCATGCCATACTTTACACATAAGTACTTAAGAAAAATTACATGGATGTGGGAAAAAAGGGCCTTTTCCCCACATATGGGAGCAAAACAAGAGGAAGATACAGTGTCACAACAGCCCAAGTTATGCTTCTTAGGTCCCTACTCTGATCTTAATCCAGCAAAAAGCCTGCTTATTTTGATCAAAGATAGCTGGAGCAAGACCCACCCTCAGAACTTGCCCCATACAGATAATAATACAAATCTGTTGGTTCAGTATTGACAAGAACACTGTTTGCTTTGCAGAAATGAATGCTAAGGGGCTCATCCTCAAGGCATTTGAACAGTATCGACTGAAAACCTGTATTGATTTTAAACCTTGGGAAGGGGAGAAGAATTACATATCTGTGTTCAAAGGAAGTGGGTAAGAGGAGCAATTCAAAATAACTTTAATTCTGTTTGCCTTCAGACTGTTTTCATGGCCAATATTCACTCTAAAACTCACATATCTGATTATAATTTTGTATTTTTGTTGTCTTTGTTTTCCCAGTCTTTTTTAAACTGGAAATTGTAGTAGTTTCCAATGCAGGTATTACCTTAGTAATAATGAACAATTACTTACTGAAACTTGGTTTTAAATACAATATTTTTATATATTTTAAATACAATATATTTAAGTCCTTTAAGAGGTAATTTTCTGGACATGGTAAAACATATCAGAAACAAGGCAGTTATGTTCTTGACTGATCTTTGGATATATGGAGTATCACTTTCAAATGGTTATTCTTAGTATACCTTAGTATGTAGGAAAAAAAATCCCAGAAGAAATGGGGTAGTTGTAACTGTGGGGCAACGAATTTGTTTGAATATAACAATGAAATTGCATTTTAACAATGTTACACCAGCACTCAGATGTAAGAGCAATATTTTTAAACACTGTGTGACACTGACATATTTTACTGATGTTTCACTTTATTTACCTCCTTTGGTGAACAATTATGCTATTTCACCTTAAATTTTGCAAAACAAGACTCCAGTAAAGAAGTCAAAATTGCCCCACCTCCTTCCCTTCTAAGACAGTCTCTGTCAAAACAGTGCAACAAGAATAAATATATTCTCCACTCTATGCTGAACCATTTCTCCTTCAGAAAAGGTGAACAGGGAGAGCTTGATAGCCTGGTGAGGAAATTTACTTTCAGAAAATCATTTCCTGATATGAGAATACATTCATAAATGGGAAAAGATTTTCTGATAATAAAAATGTTTCTCTTTCCCTTTGGCTTGTTCTGAGATATTTGTAGCAGATAATTGTTTCAAAATTTCTTCAGTCTCGGTCTCTTTATATTTTCTGCTATTCATGCTGTACATATGACATTGAAACTCAGCTCTAAAAGATGTATAAGTGGAGACTCGGGGAGTCTGTGCTAATGACTCTGGCTTTCTGAGCTAAATGGAAATCTCATGTAGCTGAATTTTTTAATCCTTGTTCCCATAAAGTATGCATTAAATTTGCTAATAATTGTACCTGGAAAAGAACCACAATATTTAGCCTATGGCATGTAGGAGGCCTCTGTGCAATGTTCCATTTATATGTCTGTTAAAAATAGATGAGTCATGGTGATGAAGAAGACGAATCGTTCTAGTTGTATAGCATTTCTTACCCTCACTGCCTGGTGTATTGCTTGCCCTGAAATGTTTCTATCACCTCAGCTGACACATCTGCAGCAGCACTTTTTGAGAGGTTGGAACAAAATGGTGCAGTCTCCTGAAAACAACCATCCAGTTTCAGTGAGTCAGTTTGGGCTGTACAAAGAAATCAGGACTTACCCTGCACGAACTGCCTTTCATTTCACTCCTCTCCTAACTTTGGATCTAGTGGAACAAGACGTAAACTGGGTAAACCAACCCATTTCCCCTCTGCTGTTCCTAATGTTTTGGGATTTTTTTTAATCAGCTAGGACTCTTCTAACTGCTGACTGAAGACCTCAGTCCAGAGGTACAGTGCAGACAGGCACACAAAGTTCCTGGCAGCATAAAGTTTTACCACACCAAGAAAAAGTTGATAAATCATCCTTGCCTTTCTGATCTTGGCTTGCATCTATAAAACAGAGGAATGTGGGGGAACTTTGTGTCAAAAGGATTTGTAGTAGGCCATAAAGTCCTCATCTGAATTACCCTTTTGGATTCAAACTAAGTAAACCACAAAAGAAGCCAGCTGCCACTTTCCTGGGTTGACTGCCCTGCGTAAAAATACGTTTGTAGTCTCTGATGTATGCACACAGTGTAACAACACTCAGTACAAAAAGCCCTCTCCATTTACACATTCTTCATCCTACCATTCACCACGCCTTGGCTACTACCTCTACTAAGTTAACAGGTATATAGTTATAAAACTGAGTAGAGGTATGTGTAAGGTTTTCTAGCACACAGCCCTCCACCTCACATTCTACCCAGGTCTATACATCTGCAGTAGGGGTTAGACTGAGGGTCTGTTTAAAGACCCTTTCTTGACTCCAGCCTATGTGCTGTGCAAAATACCTGGGGGATTCTTGTGAATTACAGAAATGCAGGAGCATCAGATGTGGCAAGTGCCTGCAAAGCTCACAGAACAGTCTGGGAAACTGCAACGAATGTGCCATTTCTCCTTAGTCTTCTCATGAAAAGAAGGATTCATTCAGCAGGAAAACTAGCATGGTCTGGTAGACTCAAGTGGTTAGCAGATCAGGGAGGATCGATGTCATCTCTACTATTTCCACATGGAAAATCAGCTGTTCATGGAGCACTCCTGGGAGGCCAATTCAGCTCTTTGCCACTGTGGCACACAGCAAAGGGAATCCATGCACAAGTGGGTTGAGACAGATCCCTGGCTAGCCAGCTTGCTGCTGGTAAGTCAAAGTGTCTGTGAGCTGATACTGGTGATCTGTGATACTTTAGCAAGGAAATCAGTAGCAGGACATTAGCATAAAATTATGTCTGAAATGAGCGGTGCCATTGCTACTGATGGCACGTGGCTATTTACAGCCCACCTTCCAAAAAGAGGGCTGGTGGGAGTAGTCAGAGGAGGCAGTTCTCTGTGCCTCTACCCTCTGATAGCAATGCAGACAGCATTGAGTCGGTGGCAATAGAGCTCTCACACTCCGGGACTCTCCTCCACTTTTTCTCCCCTCATGAAGACGCTCCTAACAAGGGGTTCCAGCTGCCCATTGATCTGGAGTGCCCTGTCCCGCTTGCCTAAGTTTTATTCTCAGTGCAGGGCAATGCAGACCATGTATTTACTCCCTCTGTGGCTGTAGAATGCTGATGTATGTAGGCGTTTGGCAGTCTGAGAGCAAGGGGAAGCTGCATCCACCATCGTTTGGATGTTAGTTTTGCCAGGGGTCCTGGGTATGCCTGTAGCCTGCTGTGCTCTGTGCAGCAGCTGTGAAGCCAGAGGTGGCTTTGATACAAGGTAGACCCAGACCTGTGATGGACTTCTTATAGTTCTGCGTAACACAAGAAAAAGCTACATAATCACTATGAGGCCTTGTTCAGGGGAAGCCCATGAAATTATGGATGCTACATGTGCTCCTTCCCAGGTCTCATGTTGTGATTTCAATGAGTAATCAATAGCCAAGGCCTGTGTTGCTCTGTGGAAAAAGAAATACTGGGGAACATGTGGCACTAATAAATTACAGAGTTCAAAAGTGCATGGTGTGCTTATATTTTAAAACTTCTGAAGCAATAGGACCGCAACTCCTATGGCATATTTTGTGCCCGATTAATTTTATACACTTCATTGGGCAAGTATTGATTTATTTGCTGCATAAAATATCAATTTAAATATAGCTCTCTGTGCTTGCTACTTTGTGGACATGGGGTGCCATTTTATTGGCTTGTGCAGATACCACACTGAATTTTTTTATCATTTAATAAAAACTTCCAGCACAGCTGTGGTTTTGCTGTTCCTTGTGAGTGTGTATCAGCAGCAAGTGCTCTAGCACAGCAGCTCACAGAGAGCCAGAAAAAAAGAGCTTCTGAAAAGCACTGTCAAGTCCACCAACCTGTCAGAAGGCAAGCACAGCCATGCAGAAACCCACCTTGCCTGGCAGCCACAAACCCACGCAAAGTAAAAGGCCAAAACAGCGCAGAGAGAAGTAGCTGCAATGGCAGAGGCAAGAATGTCTGTGAACCTGGTTCGTCCTAGGATAGGGACAGGCTCAAAGGGTGCTCACAGTCATGTACTGTGGTCCAGCTGAAAATTGTTAATTTGCAGTAACTTCAACTAAGTCATGTGCCCATGATGTTCCAGAGCACCAACAAAATCCTCACCAGTTTTCTTCTGCCACAAATAGCTCAACATTTATCTGCTAAATAAAACACCCTGGAAGCAGTAGAGCCAGATCCGAGGAACTGCTTGTTCATCAAAACAGAGCTAAATGTGAGAAGGCAGTATATGGTAAGGAACAGATCAATGAAAAAGTGCTCACTGGAGCAAAATGTGACTTCAACGCTCAGGTTAAAAGCAAACCTGTTGCACAGACTGGTTCTGGAGCCTGCTTGGCATGGGGGTGGTATGTATCTCACAGAGCCCTCTCTCATTTTATTTCAATGATAGCTGCTGGTCCTCAGTGGGAAACATGCAAATGGGGTTGCAGCAGCTCTCCATCGGAACCAACTGTGACAGAATTGGGACAATCCAGCATGAGTTCCTGCACGCCCTGGGATTCTGGCATGAGCAGTCACGGTCTGACCGGGATGACTATGTGACCATTGTCTGGGACAGGATTCAGTCTGGTCAGTCACTCCCCTGCTTTTCCTTTCAGGTTCTGGTGCTAGGGTGTTTAGCTGTGGAACATCCCTTCCAGCCATCCTTCTGTGGTCATGCTATTCTCTTACCTGGACTTACTTTTCAAAGCCAGTAGATAAAAAAAGGGGTATCTGTTTGGTACAGAAGTCCTCATTTGTTGTTGCTGTGGTTATTTCTTGTGCCATGGCAGTTCCCAACCCCCTAACTAGAGATCTGAGTCCTGTTGTGCTACATGTTGTGGAGAAGTGCAGCAGGAGAGAATAATTTCATTTGTTTAAACGACTACTTTAAAAGCACTGTTACTCTGGGAGGCCTTAACAAAATAAAAATGACTAAAAAAACCCCACCCAGTCTGAAAAACCAGTGGGACCAAAACCAGTAGAAAATCTCCAGTGAAAATGCTGGTTGTTCTCTTTCTGCCCAGTTGCTACAGCAGACCATGCAGAGAGTGTGGGCAAGCAGGACAGACCCCTTTCAGTGTCTGCATTGCAACCAGCAACTTTAGCAATGCAGCTTGTGGCTGTAAGTGTGGGCATATTTGGCCCAAGCCTGAGAGCTGGCACAGGATTCCTCAGGACCCTGTTCTGTCTTCGCCTCTCTAGTTTGTGGTTGTCCTCTGTGACTTTCAGGTAGTTCAAAATCAAAGCTATATACACAGACTTGATGCTTTCCTAATACAGGTACACACAGAAGACTGAAAAGCAGATAATGATTAAATCTAATGCATTCTTATTTAGTTATGATCAATAGTCAGGTGCATATGCAAGTATATATTGCAGAGAATGACTTAGACTTGGTTATTTGATTTCCATTATATTTTGCTGACTCTTTAGTGACAAGTTGCACTGTTGTTAGCCGTTTGAAACAGCTGCAGCTTTTTTACCCTAACCAGAATATAGTTACTGTATTTTGACTAATTTAAATCTTTACCCTCCATTGGGTAGGTAGCAATGATTTTTTTGCTCATACTCCAGACAACATGTGGAAGCTTATCCAATGACGGCTCTAACTTGTTTATTATGACCTAAAATGACTAGCAATGGAGAACACAGATTAGAAACAGGGAGGCATTTCAGTTGCAAATTACAGTAATTTGAGTACTGAAACACTATTTCCACTTTTGGATATTACAAGCCCATCAAAGATTACAAGCAGTTTCACAGGAAAAGGTTTTCTGGTAAGAAAAAAATTTGGTTCATCATCATGTTATGCACCAGTGGCTGAAAGAGAAAAGTAAATAAACCTAAGCTGGAAATTAAACTATTTTACAGAGTAAGTACAAGTAAATGACTACAAAAAAAAATATTTGGGGATCTGATGGATTCTTTTTACTGTAAGATTTTACATCAAAGCTTGATTCTCTTGGGCAACAAGAACAGTGTGGCCAGCAGGAGCAGGGAAGTGATCCTTCCCCTGTACTCAGCGCTGGTGAGGCCACACCTTGAGTATTGTGTTCAGTTCTGGGCCCCTCAGTTCAGGAAGGACATTGAGGTGCTGGAGCAGGTCCAGAGAAGAGCAACCAGGCTGGTGAAGGGACTGGAGCACAAGTCCTATGAGGAGAGGCTGAGGGAGATGGGGTTGTTTAGTCTGGAGAAGAGGAGGCTCAGGGGTGACCTCATCACTCTCTACAACTACCTGAGAGGAGGTTGTAGCCAGGTGGGGGTTGATCTCTTCTCCCAGGCAATCAGCAGTAGGACAAGAGGGCACGGGCTTAAGCTCTGTCAGGGGAGGTTTAGGTTGGATATTAGAAAGAAGTTCTTTACAGAGAGAGTGATCAGGCATTGGAATGGCCTGCCCAGAGAGGTGGTGGATTCACCATCCCTGGAGGTTTTTAAGATGAGGTTGGATGTGGCACTGAGTGCCATGATCTGGTAATCACAGAGGGGTTGGATCAACGGTTGGACTTGATGATCTCAAACCAGTTAATTCTATGATTCTATGAACAAACAACCTTTCCTTTTATTTTCGCCATTTAGGTAAAGAGCACAATTTCAATAAATATGATGATAAAACATCAGACTTCCTGAATGTTCCCTATGACTATAATTCTGTGATGCACTATAGCAAAACTGCATTCAGGAATGGAACTGAATCCACCATCATCACTAACATACCAGACTTCATGGATGTTATAGGACAGAGAATGGATTTCAGTGATTATGATCTCCAGAAACTGAACCAGCTGTACAATTGCTGTAAGTTTCTCCATCTATTTTATATTTTATGTTTCTGGTGTTTGAAAGAAATGAGAATGATACATACATGCTTGCACTCATCCAGACACAAGTGAAATGGATCCTAACATATTTGGAGAAGTGAATTTTGTTAAAAAAAACCCAGAAATAATGCTACAGCTAGAAATAACAGCCCTCCTGCAGAAACACTGCTGAGTAGCAGAGTTTTCTGTGTAATTTTATCTGACCTTTAGTTGAAAACCAGCTTCACTCAGCAGCTGATTTTTGTTCATCCCTTGGGTGGCTGTTTAAAATGTGTGCTTCAGCACAAAGCCTTTTGTTTTTTCTCTGTATTATTCCACAGCTGCCGCTCAGACACTGCACAGAAATGAGTATCTTAGGCTGTCGTACCTACTCCGCTTTCATGGAATCTATGAGACAGAGTGTGTGTTCATACAAAGAGGGTACAGGGTACAGATGCTGTTATGAGGAAAATGCAAGCTTTTAAATTTTGTTTTGTTTAGTTTTAAACCTGGTCTCTTACAAAAGGGATCAAAAGAGTTATTTTGATCAGGTGGTATTTATTTTAGAAAGATGAATGAAGGTAAGAGACAAGGAAATAAAGATAATTCTATTACCAAACCAGAATACAATTCTGTAATTGTTGCTGCATCAGACATACCCTAGCACTCAGATGAAAACTTTCACCTCACTGCTTCAGTATCCCAAGTAGTGAGTACTGGCTCGTGATTATATTTTAAGCCTCATTATACAGATACCTTAAACAATTATCCTACTTTTATTAAAACGGTGCATTATTTTGATCATTCAATTCTGATGAAAATATTTCTATTTCTGTAGGTCTAAACTGAACACGCAGTGTTCAGGCTAGAAGCCTTAGCTTCCAGCACTTGTCACACAGTCAATTAGGCGTTATAAAAGTGCTTACAGCTAAGAATGTCTTTAGCAGTGGATGGGGTCTTTCTTCCTCTCCATTAATCTTACACGTTTTCCAATGGGGTCCTTCTTCCTCTCCATTAATCTTATATGTTTTCCATCATTCCCCTGCATTGCAGAAATACTTGATGACATTTTAACTTTCTTCTTAACCCACAGACACATTCCCCAAGTGAAATATCTCCCAGCCGTGCTGAAATCAGTGACAAAACTGCCACCACCTTCAGTGCAATCAGGATCTGCCCTGCCCACTGTCTGTCCCTTGGCTTCATACAGTGTTCACGATATTTGCAGTGACACAAGTGTTTGTCAGATCACCCACCACTTGCCTATGTGGCCCCTATGCCAGGGAGGACAGGTCCTTCCCAGGTCCCAGCCCTTGCCCACCCAGCTCCTGAACTGATGCTTCCAGGTTAGCGGGAACACTGAGAATGTCAAACACTGTTTGGGTGCTGGATATCCTCCCAGAAGAATCAAAAGACTATTTTGGTTGATGAACATGTTTTATAGGAAAATTTAAGCTGAATTTCTGCTATAGGCCTGTTTGATTAGGAAATTGCATTAAAAATGAAAAAAAAAGTTTCTTAAATTAAAAATAAAAAAACCCAACAACTCTCAGCATAACAAATCCTGACTGATAGTTTAGAACTGTTTTTATCTCTATTTCAAGACTGTCTTTCAGGCCATATGATAACAGTAGATTTCAGTCTGCTTTCCCCTTCCAGCATATTAACATAACTGACCATGATATGACCAATAACATAACATATTAACAGAACTGACCGCGAGGTTTCCCTCACATACAGAAAGTTAGGACTTGGCACTCATTCCCCATGTATTTTCTTCAAAGTCCAGTCTTTCACTACACACCAAGAAAGCATGTGGCTTTGGCGCAGATGGGATTCAAAACCTGCCTCAAGCAGTGCCCACTTCCCCTATTTCAGGAATGAATCTAAGAAATATATCGTAAACTATTGGGTCTTGCTTTTCTCTCTTCCAGTCATTCAGGTCACCACTCCAGCCAGCGCTTTCTAATTTAGGCTTCTTCTTTCCTGTTTGGGCAAATCAATTTCATATTTTGTTTTGTATTTTGATTTCAAAGAGTTCTTTCATCTAATAATTCTCCATTTTTCCTTACCTTCTTTCTCTAGCTGTCAATATAACTTTTACCGTGAATATTTTTCTTGGTTTTTACAACATCCCACCAAATATTGTATCTTAAAAAATATTAGTCATACAACACCTCTGATAACCTTGCATCCTCTAGAGGGTTGTTAGCTTTCTATGAGGACAGCACAAAATATCTCAGCAGTAAAACTGATTTGGCAGCAGTTCATGTCTAAGTGCTTCCCTAAGTTACTGCTTAAGTGAAGCTTTTGGCATGTTATTGAGGTTGAGTTTTGTGATACTCATTGCATTATAGTGCAATGAAACCTTTAAACCTTTAAGCCACAATATTTTATGTGTAGTTCAAAAAGCATTTTATTAACTTTGTTGTTTTCAAATCATGGCTGATGTTACACAGAGCTCAGACATGGTACAATGGGAAACAAAATTAAGAACAGGGATAAACCTGGATTGTGCCTTCCCTCACCCATCCAGAGTTTGCTTCAGGCAGAGAAAACATTTCAAATGGTGTTCTCCCCTTCATATTCAACTGACAGTCATCCTTCACTTAATTTTTCACTTGTTGTATGAAAGACTTTGTAAAATTTGTATGACTTGAGAAATCCAATGGTCCCAAGTGCACCTTTGCCAGATGTTTGGGGCTTTCTTTCGATTCAGCTTTTTGAAAATCAAGGTTTTCTTATTCCAGTGAAAGAACTTCCGCTCTTCTATATTTTAAAATAAGCACTTCAGCTGATCCATTAGTGAACTTTTATCAGAATCTGTGGCCGAGTGTGGACTGGCCTAAAGAAAGCAAAGGAATGAATGGGAAATCTCAGGACCTTTTTACTATAATATGAGTATGTAGGGATTGATTTGGTATTACTGTTCCTTTTATAAATGAAAAATGTGATATGATAATGTCTTATTAAAAATCTCATTAATGTCAATGTTAATCACCAAAAGTTTTGAGTTCCTGAGCATATGAATGTTGATAGCATTTGAAGCCAGTGATTATTTGGTGTTTGCATTTAGTCTTTGTCTGCTCATGGCTTTGGATCTTCAGAATTAAAATGTTTGTTCAACAGAGATTCATGACCTTTTTTTTTTTTTTTTTTTAAATGTCATAGCCTCCTCACTAAGTTTCATGGACACATGCAGTTTTGAACTTGAAAATATTTGTGGCATGATTCAAAGTTCAGATGATAACAGTGATTGGCAGCGTTTGTCTCAGGTTCCTACTGGGCCAAATACTGATCACACTAATATGGGACAATGCAAAGGTATGAAAAAAAAGTTCTTATCTTTCTGGGAAGCATTTTCTGCAGTGTCATGTGAGTTCACTTTGAGCTTGGCCTTGCTATCTGTTTGTTTTTTGACAAATGACAGTTTATTTTTTAACTAAGCAACATAAATCTACATACTTAGGGACATCATGTGATATGTTTGATTTTTGCTTATTTGAGAAGATTGAATGCCCTTATCTCTCTTGATCTGTTTTCTAGCCTTAGTATCACATCCTGACATGACAATATATAGAGTTCTAACCTATGGTACAGGCACACCAGAAAGACTGCTGCTTTTCTGAATAATTGCTCAATAACTCCTTGGAAAGGATTAGGATTTTGAAATGATGGATATTTTCAGGGCTAAAATGAAGAACTAATTGACAATATATCTTGTTGTACCTGAACTTGTCAGAAAGGTTCATGAGTTCAGAAGCTTAAACCAATCCTCCAGAGTGTCAACTATGAATTACTAGCACTGGGTAGAGTAAAAGCCCATGGTTTTGAGTACAAATTGCTGGAGATAGCCACATGAGGAAAAAAGTTGCAAGGAGAATGGTTCTGCCTTTGGAGAATGTGAACAGGTAACAGTCCTCAGTCAAAGGATTTGTACAGGTCTTCTAGTGTTCTTACAATGCAGTTTTAGGAAAACCAGTGTGCCAGGAAAATTTTGTTTTCTCTCAGCTCTACCATTCATTTCTCATTGGCTTTTGTCAGATTCTGGCTACTTCATGCATTTCAACACCAGTGCTGGAGAAGAAGGAAGCACAGCTCTCCTGGAGAGCCGAATTTTTTATCCCAAAAGGGGCTTTCAGTGCTTACAATTCTATTTATACAACAGTGGTCATGAAAGCGACCGGTTGTATGTCTTCGTCAGGGAGTACACTTCAGCCCATCCCAACGGCACTTTGAGATTCATTGAAGAGATAAAAGGTATGGAAAAAATTGCTTTTTGTTTTGTTTAATCTATATTCAATATTTTTAAAAGTACTGGGAGAAATTATTGTAGCAAAGTCACTCATTTCCTAGTGTTGTTCTTTGGCTTTTTTTCTATCTATGTAATTGATTTCTTGCTGGTGAAATTATACCCAATGGATCCTCAGTCAGTTGTTTCCTTATCATGTAATAGATTACCACAAATTTCAAACTCTTGCATTATGAAATAGTTTTCTCACCAAAATAGATAGAATTCCATGAGCAGTCATTTTAACTGTTCTATAATTGCTGCCATCAGTCGCTACAGATGAAATAGAGTAAATTACAATTAATAAAAAAGTGATAGTAAAGAAATGGAAAGCATAAGTGCACTGGAATACTTAATATGCAAGCTTAAAAGTATAAATAAAATTTAAATAATTTTTAAACAAGGTTTGACATAACTGAAATATATGGGCAGCAGATAGTGATTTGAGTTGACGTTTGAAAAAAATTAAATTTTGGGGTCTTTAGGAGCCTATGGCCTACAGAATGAGCAGTTAAGGTCAGTTAATGGAAAGAGCTTTTTAAGCTAGAATTGCCAAAGTCACCTTATAATTAAATTACTTTCTCAAATATTTAGCTGCTACTTGGTCTCCATTACAGCTACACCTGATTCAGTGTTTTGGTAACATAAGAGTCTAAGCAAATTCTTTTACTAAGTACGTATGAAGTCTGCTTTTCAGTCTCTTTTTATCCCTTTAGGCTCAGCTGCTGCTGCTGCCTGTTTTTCCTTTTTCCACTCTTTTCTGGAGGGTTTCACCCTGAGGGTTTCACCACACCATCCCTCTGTGCTTGCTGTCAGCATCCTTAATAGGATGAGTTCTGTACCTGGGATTTGCACTGCTTATTCCATAAAGTCAGGGCTGCTGAGGCAGAGGTAGGTTTCAAATCAGTCAGAGCCCTCCAAACTCTTTCAAATCCTACCTTAAAGCCACACTTCATCCTTGGTCACAAATACTCTTTCATGTATATTAGTTCCCATCTCCCATTCCTGCTTTCTCAAGCCCGTGGTTTCCTTTAAAGTCTCCTATCTCATATGTGTGTCCAAACAAGCACCTGATTTTGGCAGTCTCTGGCAAAACTTTCAGGAATGGTTTAAGATCATTTTCCCCTCAAGCTGTTTCACTTCTCTCCTGTGAGAAGTTACCCTCACTAACTCAGTCAATGGGCTGGAAGAGACAGTGACACTACAGCCCCTTCCAGCCATGATCTGACACCCTGGCTGAGCTGCTCATGGGTTTGCACTGAACCACCACCCCTGAGGGGCTGAGGGACAATCTCTGAACCCTTCCTGCTGGTCTGTGGCAGCTGTGGATGCCTTCAGCCAGGAGCAGGGGAGGCTGTGGGCGTGGGACATTTTGCAGCACGGTAGCTGATCTGCTCATTGAGCGTGAGTCAGAAATCCCAGTCTTGCATATAATATGTGCCGTTCAAAAAACCTTTAGTTTATGCAGAAGGCAATTTCATGGAAAACAGTGGGGTGCTTTTCTTACTATTTCTGGGTTTATTTTTTTTCCTCCTAATTATAATGGTAATGAAAAACGTCAAGAAATTAAGACTCATATTTGAGATCCATTGTGTTGTGTTTAGGATTGTTAGGAGAGTGACGCATGAGTTCTGTACCTGGGACTGGCACTGCTTATTCCCTGAAGTCTGGTCTTCTGTGCAGATGAACATAAACCAGACAGCAAAACAAACTGTTTTGCTGCCCATACTTTTAATAAAGGGTGTTCTACTTTCATCGGCCTCATAAGGCCTCTGTGCAGAGGTCTTTGCTTTTATGTGCACTGCTCTTGAAGTCAAGTGGAATTTGCTAGTGCAGGCACTTTTGGACGCAGCATCAGACTTGCAGTAAGGTTTTATCACATGAAGTAGGTTTTGCAACTGACAGGCTTTAATTCGAACTTAGTACCTTTAATTATTCAATGAGTGAATAGTGCTTCTGCATAGGCAAGCTTCCAATAAGCCATTTAAATATACAAAAACAAATGAATGAACCAGTATAGTAGTCCAGGGCTCCCAGGATCTTCTGAAGCATTTTATTTTTTTTGTTGAGGCGTGTTGTTATTCAGTTATTTGAATATAACTTGTTCTGAATTATTTCTTTTTAATAATACAGGTGGCAGACATTTTTATGCATTTCATTATCACAATATCTGGACTAATTCATCGCAATTTTCTTGAAACATTTAAAAGAAAGAGTGGTTTTAAAACCCATCAACAATGTTTTCGCTCAAATTAAAGTGCTATTATGCGTATTAAATCTGTTAAAAAATTGTATTGAGGAAATATGATCTTGCACTGAAAAAGTAACATCTACGGAAGAAATATTCCATCACATCAGTGCCAGTGAAACTGAGAAATTCCTGCACAGTGTTGGTATAGGGTCCACAGACCTGTGCAGTGTTTGACGGTACTGCTGACTCAGAAACCTCTACCCTTGTTTTCCAGGTTCACCTGAGACTTACTGGCAGCTCCATCACGTTTCTTTGAATGTCACGAGTAAATTCCGGGTTGTGTTTCAAGGCGTGAGAGGAAGTGGCTTATCAAATGGAGGCCTCTCTATTGACGACATCAACTTGTCAGAAACTCAGTGTCCCCACCATGTCTGGCATATCAGAAATTTCACACACCTCCTCAACACAAGTCCAGCAGGGGCAGAAGGAAGAATACACAGTCCACCTTTTTACTCTAGTAAAGGATATGCTTTCCAGGTCAGCTTGTATGTAAATGGCACCACTGATAACCCATTTAATTTAGGAATATACTTGTCCTTGATATCTGGAGCAAATGATGATCATTTGCAATGGCCCTGTGCATGGCAGCAAGGTACCATGATTCTGCTCGACCAGCATCCTGATATTCGTCAACGGATGTCAAACCAAAGGAGTATAACAACGGACCCCCAGGAATTATCAGGTTAGTTAAAATCAGACATGCCACTCAATACATGTAAAACACAGCCAAAAGACAAGGAGTCACATCTATTTGTGTAAATTAGTGCAGCTTTCTCTGGAACGTTTCATCTGTTTGCAGCAACAATATAATTGACCCACAAGCAAGAAAAATATAAATCTACAAACAAGTTAAGCTGGGACCCTGGATTTCAAAGGTGATTTGCATAAGAAACAGGTGGATGAGCTATTCCTAAAGTTTCTTTCATATACTTTGTGGGGATGCATTTATATTTGTTTTAATTAGAATGGAAGTTTTCCAGAAGGCTTGAAAAGAAACATACTGAATTAACAATACACAAAGATCATACCAGATAAAAGTGCAGCTATTAAACAAATCCCCACCCTCCTTGTCAAAGGTACAGTGGTGTCAGCGCAAATCTCCAGATGGACAAAGTACTGATTCATGTTACATAATCTGTACTTGTTTAAGGTGTGAGAAGATAAGGGGCAATTGTCCACAATGACTTGGAGAGGAGGCGGCTGAGGTAAAATATAACTCTGAGAAATGGTAGGAATCTCTAGAGAGAGAGAGATATTAAAGAAAACACCCATCTTCATCACTGGATAAAGACTGGGTATAAGCCAAAATTACTTTCTGCATTGATGTAAGGGTTTTTCCAAAAGAAACCACCTCCACCACTGATTTGGTTTCCTGGGCTTTCAGACTTCAACATTATAGAAGGAAGGAAGGCACAAAAAATGCCTAATTCACAGTATTATTTTAAATATTGTATGTTTTACATTCATTTTTCTATGGCGCTGGCTCTACGTGAAAACAAAGCGTGTAATCTGGAAAGACCAAATGTCCTCCCTGTAAATGAAAGATGCACCACAGCAGGGCCTCCATAGATGTTCGACATTTTCCCTGTGCTTTCTGCTCTTATGGCCACAGTGGTTAGCCCTTTTCCTTCCCTGACCCTGTGGACATGCGGTCTATTTGCACTCTGCTCCTTCTCCCTTGTTTTATTCACATATTGCAAATAGTCCCAGATTCCCAAGAAAAGCCTTGTAACATGTACCCTTTCTCTGACCAGAGAGGTGTTGGAGCAGGCAGTCTCTTCCCCCTCTGACAGATACTTTCATAGACAATCAGGCTCAGCTTTGAATTTAAAGCAGGGTTTGATGGAGCAGGCATCAGTGATCTGTGATCTTTCAGGTTGTTCAAGTGCCCTGCACCTACTGCAAGGGATCCTCTTTTTTGAGAAGCACTGCATTAACTCATTTTACAGATGATTCATGTGCTACTAATCTTCTTGCCCACTACACTTTAAAGAACTAAAAATAAAATACAGCAGATTTTCAACTAGCTCTCCAGTATCCTCTTCTCCCCCACAGATTGTTTCCTCAATATATGAGGCTAAACCGAAGCATTGAAGATCTCCATTGTCTTGTGGATCTCATCAGTGTGGAATGTCAGACAGTTGTGATTTCTACTGAGAGAGTAATCCAGAGCGGTCTCACATTCACATCCTTTTTTTTTTTTTTTTTCCCCCCCCAGATTCCTCATCAAATTTTTTTTGGGATAGGCCAGATATAGTGGGATCCCCAGAAACTTTTCCCAATGGAACTGAGTTCATGAGAGGTCCAGGACTTGGAACAGCAACATTTTTAACTCATGAGAGACTTAGAAGCCGCAACTTTATTAAAGAAGATGGTGTCTATATTCTTTTAACAATGGAAGGTATGTTAACGTAGCTGACACTCTTTACGATGTGGTAAACAGTGTCACACACTAAGTCACTAGTGATGTAGGTATAAATACACTTTATGTACTTTGCACATGAGCAGTTTTTGATTTATGCCTGTATCTAAAGCCAAATCATATGTTTGAACAAATTTGTGGATAAATATGTGCAAAGTGTAATTCCTTTATCTCACGTGAAGGTGTATAAAACAATGCTAATCCTGTGAAAATTATTTTGAGTAGAGTAATTTGAATAAAATTATCTGTTTCTGAAAAGAATCTAGAGGACATTTCCAAAACGCATCATGCTCCTGAAGGGCAAAAAAAGACTGTTTATCCATTATACCTGTGAACAGGCTCATTGCTCTTTATGATTAGAAACTATCACTGGGATAAGAAGAAAAATACCACTTAGTAAAGACCTTATTTCTTGTGGGTTTATCATGCAGATATATCACATCTACTGTCAACTGAGCCGAGTGTTTCACCCACTGTTGTTACTAGTACAACAAGTGCCAGCACTGTCAAACCTGACTCCAGCCCTGCTCCCACCACCAAGCCAGGCACCAACACTGAGCCCACGGCCCCGGAAGAGCCAGAGGGCCCGTCTTTCTGTCCAGATAACCCTTGTGAAAACGGTGGTGTCTGTGTCATGGTAGATAGAGCATCAGTGTGCAGGTAACTGCCTTTATTCACTCCCAAATGCAATTCTAGGATGAGTAATGAAAGTTTCTAGTAAAATAAATCTTTGTTTCCTAATGAAAGACAGACTGTAGCTGATTAAGGCAAGTGTTTCCAACTGCTCCTGTGAGACAGGATACAACTGATTTGGGCAACAAAGCCCCTAACCTCAGCATTTGATGATTTTGAAGTACTCCAATTGACTTTCCTGTAAATTATATTTTAACCGTGTTTATTATTTTCAGTTATGTATTATTCCAAGTCCTTAGAAGTCCCTGTAGTAAAATGTAGAAGTTAAATAAATGCAGTTGAAAGAGCTTTTATATCAGTAGAAAAAATTTTTAATGCTTATCAGGTAGGAAGCAGCATAGACATTATTTTAGAATTTGATTCAGAAATACTGTACAGTGCAGATTATGACCATAAATTACCAAAGTGTAGTTGCTTGTCTTTGAAACCAGCCATGAAGGCTGAGGACTGCAAGATTTTTGCCCTGCAAGAAGATTAATATCAACTTTTATTAAATTCTCTGTGGATGTATTTATGTGACCCACCTGTCTGATTAGCATTGTTCCAGCTCTCAAACAAACTCCAAGCCTGAAGATAGTGACCTTATGTGATGCTGTGCCAGGGCAGGTAGACTGGGGGAGTGCTGTGAGGCAAACATCTAAAGGCCAGGAGCCACAAGAGTCAGGATGACTCATTAAGTATTGTATCTCCCCATTTAGAAACCTTTTAAAAACAGTTCTTGTGCAACTCATCAGAAGCAGGTCACAAATACGAGTAAATGTCAAGAAGCTGTTCCAAAAAGACACACAAAAAAAAAATATACTGTTATACCTGATTTCAGAATTATGGAAAGAGAACACTTATTTTCTGACATCTCTAGGCTATTCAGAGCTTTAGTGCCTTTGCAACCTACTTTCCATCCTACAGAAATGTGTGACCGGCAGTCAGTTTCCGCTCCAATTTTCTGCTGGGAAATGAGTGGGAATGTGGCACACAGGTCTGTTCAAGGTGAATCACCTGAAGTTCCCCTCGCAGCCAGTATCTTTGCAGCGTACTGCAAATGGACTCATTTCCAGGGTTGAGGGTAGTTCTGAATAAATGGCCTAGACAGGAACTAGAAAATCAATACGTATGGAATAACCAAGATCAGAAAGATAGGGGCAGGTGTGCACTCAGCAGTACTGCACGTACATTTTTTTCTTCAGTTAGATCATTTGGACCCTCATATGCTCACTGTAAAATGTTTCGAAGCTGATTGTGATGCTGGATAAGGTGATGGAATCAGAGCCTGGAGGTTGTTTTCAGTCCTTAAACCAGACAACTGCTAGGATATTAATTTCTTTTTACCTGCTTCTTGGAGGAGGGCAGAGGCAGTTCATACAAGTTCTTTAAATTTGAAAATAAGCCCTTTGTGGCGATGAGAAGGTCTGATTGGAATGTGCCACATCTCAGTGGAGAAGCACTGAGCAATGAAAGCACAATGTGGTGGGAACACCTTTGTCTAGCTCAGGCATTGAACTGAGGAGTTCTTGCAGCTAAGTTTTGGCTCACCTGCTGTCTGTTCAGAGAAGCCTTGAGGGTACTACCATTCAGTGGCAGCAGCTGTATAGATCAGCTGCAGTCAGGCGTTAAGCAGGCAAGAGTATCAGGAAGGCGCTTGGGTTTTTCGGAAAAGGCTCTCTCTGAAGGCATGACCTGTGAAACAGCAGGAAGCTGAAAGAAGCACATTCAAATGTGCAAGGACAGTGGGCCACTCAAGACAGCTTTAAATAGAAGTCCATTTTAAGACAACTTCATCATGCTTTGGGATTTAGAAACTGCATCAGAGATGCCGTTTTTCTGAAGTAGACTTTTTCATACCTTTAATCTTTAGGTGATAACATATGTCTGTTCTTTTGCTTTCTAGATGTCCAGTAGGTGACGACTGGTGGTACATGGGAGAAAAGTGTGAAAGGAAAGGCACAGCTCAAGAAAATATTGTAATAGCTGTTTCTTCAACCGTAGCTGTATTTGTTGTAATGCTTATTGTCACTATCACAACTGCAGTGTGCCTTAAAAAGAAATACAGAAAAGGAAAGGAAAACAAGGAGAGCTTGACTCTGGAAGAAGTAAGTGTTTTTCCTCTTTCAACAAATACACACACAAATGCACACACACACATCTATATTCACTAAAAAGTAAATAATCAAATTCAGTAAGAAGTAAATGGGAAGATGTCACATTTTTGTAATCTAAAGACTCCAGTTTAGGAATTGAAAAACTCCGTTAAGTGCCATTAATTTACAGCAAAAAGCCCCTTAATTCAAAACCTTCTCTCCTCCACTCATCACCCCCATACTGGCCCAATGGCAACCTACATTGAGTGGGAGAGTGTAAAGGGGCTAATTTTCCATCTGTGATTAAATCGTGTTTTCTACTTGGTAGAATTGTATTTCATCTATTACTGCCTTTTGTGCTGAAGATCCCCCCTTAAAACACCTGGATATGGTGCTAAAAATTCCAACCCAAAATGTCAAAACAAAAAGCAAATCTAAAAATAATTTCCCCTATTCAAAGGCCATTTTTTGTGCTAGGAACAAAGTAGCCATGGAAATCACGACTTAGGGAGAGGTAAAAGAAGACAGCAGATTAAAACTATCTGAGTGACTGAATCAGAAATGCCTTGTTGTGCATAGCAGCAATGTTTGGGCAGGTTTTCACAGGAAATTTCATAGTCTGAGATGCATGGACTCTTAGTTTAAATAGAGGCTTATCTTGGAAATAGCAAGAGTGACATAGCTTAGAGGGACTCAGAGGGCACAGGGGAAATTTTGTAAGCAAACTGAAGAGGAATAGCCTTCCAGACAGTAGAGTTCCATTTTAATTTTGCACTAATACTCTTTGTGTGATATCCCATTGAGTTGCAGTACCACTGTGCAGTGTCAGATACTTGACACTGTTACTTCATGACCTTCCAATAAATAGTTTTGGTTTCTTTGTAATTAATGCTCATACACTGTACACATATTTCCCTTCCCTACACACTTTTAAGATGTGGGTTTGTTTTTTTTTTTCCCCACTTAGACTAAAACATCCTTCTGAAGATAATGCAAATAAGCATCAAAGACACAAGATGAACATCACTGCAAAACCACAACTTCGTCATCTTTCTTTCTGCTCCTTTTATCTCAACCATCACGATAAAGGTTTGTAAAGTCTGGAAAATAATTAATCATCTGGATAAAATACTGTTTTTAAGTCAATGAAGTGTCTGACAGTGTTGTGTATCATCATGCAATGGAGAAAAAAGGAACTATGTTTTGTAACGCGCCTGCCCAGTCCTTCAAGTCTATCCTTCAAGTCTATCATTTTCTTCTATCATGAAGAAAATGTATAGAACTGCATCCTGACTTTGAATCAGCACAGCAAAGTCTAGGTTTGTGGTATTATCATTATACAGATGTTTATAATAAAGGGGAGCTGAACTCTGTATTCACAGGGTACCCTGCAGTTCTGAGTCCTGCTACAGCTGTCAGTCAGTAGTGTGAGAGTGTTTGGAGTGTGGAAGCGTCTGGTTCATGAAGTTATTTGGTTGTGATCTACTTACTATAAAAAAAATAATAATAAGTAATGAGGAAAGTGATAAATGAACCTCACAGACACACAAACATTAATGAGGAAGTCACAACAGAGGCAATAATGAGCATCCAGAATGCTTCATCCCCTGATTGATGGTCCTTTAAAGGAACTTCTCAGGCAGAACCTTCAAGAATGTCAACCCGAACAACAATTTTTAACTGATAGGAAGGGGAAAACATGATTAATATGAGTATTATTGGTAAGTTGGGGCTGCTTGGGAGCTATCAGAAAAGGCTTGTGGACTTATGTAAAAATGACTATGGGATTGTTGAGGGGAAGGACCGAAGGATCCAAAGAAAAGTGGGGGAAAATGGAAAGACCAGCCTGCGAAAGAAATCTGTGTGCCAATGACCAGAGGAGACTGCAGGTCTTAGGGACCATGGATCTATGTACTAGCACATGGAGTGAGTGGCATGCAAGGGTCTGTGTGCCAGTGAGTAGAGGGCTGTGGGCCACAGGGCTTGTAAGTTTAAAGACCAGGACTGAAGGGACTGGTGTGTGTATTTTGTACGTGTGTTGAAAAGGTCCAGGTGTCAGCAACCAGAGAGGAGGCCATGGGCACCAGGGCTGTAGGTGTGGGTGGCAGCAACTGGAGGGATCAGGTTGTGGGAGATGGGTGTGTTAAGAGGTCTAAGTGCTGACAGCTGGGCAGACCTGTGTGTGTTAATATTTCTTTCATGAATTTAATCCTCTGTGTATGCATGATTCACTAGCAAACTTCAAGCTGGACTAGCTGGTGAGTTGGAGGAAACATTTCCACATCTGGAGGACTTGGTCAGAGCCAGTGATTAGGGTAAAGGAGCCCAGGTTCCAGGCATGGATATTAGACAGGCTGAGAGCCCATACTAATATTCACAGGAGTACCTATGTGATGATTCTGTGAGTGTATGCATCTGTTTCACTAGCAAGCATCACGTTGCTCTATCTGGCAAGCAAGAGGTGGCTTGTATACCACTGAAAGGACTCCCAGACATGGGTATTAAACATGTTTAGAGGCAATGCTATCAATCAAAGGGACTGTGAATGTGGGTGTGTTTATGGATGTGGAGAATGGGGGCACACATACTTTCACCAGAGAACCTCCACTGGAATTGAAGGGAGGAAGAGGACCGGGGCTGTCTGCCCTTGTTTTGAGTTTGGGTATCATTATAGATGGGCTGTACTACCCGTGCTGCTCTGTGTGTGTGCAGCAGTCTGTTCAGCCAGCTGCTTTAGGGACCCCTCTGTGTATGTGTGAGCATGTCTCTTGGATACACAAACAACCTTACTACTGGCCAGACCTGCAGGCAGGAAGAGGAGCAGCATCTGTATCCTTGGGACTGGTATGTAGAGATCATCTTGGAATGTTTGTGGATGGGCATGTTGGCTGGGGAGACGGGATCCTCGACCTGAGAGATATGGTGGCTCCCTTAACAACCCTGACAAGTAGGGTTTAGAGAGAAAAGTAGTCGTAGAAATAAAAGGGCCAGAGGAAGCAAAGTGTACTTCCCTGAGGACACTTTGCAGAGAAAAATGGCAGTCGCCATGGGCATAAATCATCACATTTGTGGTATTTTGGAGGGAAGCTGTGAGAGGCAGGAGTGCCAGTAATAGAAATGTCAGGTCACACCAGATGGTTGGTAGACTGGTGTGTGAATGTGTTCACATTCAAAGGTCAGCAGTTGTTACTTTGATTCCCTGGAATGGGTATTGGTGATCTTAACATTTGCCATGCAATTTACTGTAACTCTGGGCAAGAGCAGTTCGAATGTATGGAAATTTGATGAGGGAGCAAGTCTTCCTCTGAATGCTGTTTAACAGCACAAAGCAACAAATGTGTATGCTTCTGTATCAACATCGCATAGTAGTCCTTCTCTGATTGATATTCTCTGAAATGTAGTTATATTTAAAGCATTCATAGCTGGTTTTATTAGCTTTTGTTGGAATCCAAAGATTCATGAAAACAGCCAGACAAAATTAACAAAGATTTGTCAGAGCTAACAAGCATCCTGGAGAGGAAAATACCCTACTATAGCTGTCTTAAAATAACTTTCCTATTTCCACACATCTTCATCAGCAGATTTCATGCAAATAATCCTCCAAATGTGCCTTCAACTAAGATATGCACATAGATTTACATGGAGTTAAGAAGACACAAATGAGACTGTTAATAAATTCAACCCTGGATAAAATCCTTAACATTATAAACAGTGAGCATTTCTCAATTTCAGATGTGAACTACCACATTTGTGACCACAGAGATCATTTATATTTTTGAAATCCAGATTACATGAGATGGCATAAATACTTACCTGTGCTTTCATCAGGAGAGAGCTTAATATACAGAGCAATATTACAATTTCAATACATTGTGCAAGATACAAATTCCATAGGGTATATCCTGACATGTTAAACTTCCATGGCGAAAAAAGCCCTTAAGCTTCTGCTTCTTCATTTCAAACAGAAATCAGTGAAGAGCACAACTTAAAACTGAATCTCCCAGTCAGTGTGAATGACTCACTTTCCTGAGGTGTGTAGATTCGACAGAGCTAAAAGAGACTGACGTTTTAATAATGTCATTAACTGACCTAAAAATACTCAAGAGGAAAATAGCTTTTTTTGAATTTACAATTCAGAAAAATTACCCAGGAAGTCCAGTATCAGATTCAATATTGCACTTTATTGTTTATCACAGAAGGCATACTACTAGCCCAAGTTCCTGAACAAATACATTTTTCTTAAAAAGGTGTAGCACAAATGAGTTAGAGTGATGGTATTTTTTCAAAGAAGAAAGGAGGTGAGAGGTTTCAAGCACATATGTGGTTTAGGAAATGAAGCATTTCAACTGATTTTGTCTTCTTTAGGAGTAGATGTTTTACTTGGATTTATAATTTAACTGGTTAAAGTTGCAAGGCCTCAGTAATGGTCACCTCTTGTGAAAACAGCAGTGAAGATTCAACAGCCTGGGCCCTGCAGCTTTCTTCTGGAGATGACTCCCCTGCTTTACCAAAATTATCTACATAGTTTTGGGGCTGCATTTATTATTTATAATGAAACAGCTTAATTTTGGAGATGTACATTTGACACATTTGTGGATAATATAGATATCCATCACAGATCAGATCCTGTGTTGGACGGTTGAAGAGCCATGCATGGGCCTGCAGCCTGGGTGTTTACTTTCCCAGAGTAGATTTATCCACAGAAAGTTTTACTAGAAATTTATAATACGAAGATCTCTCTGTGAAATCACTGAGATGCTAGTATGACAGTAAGCTCCACCAGTGTTAAATCTGCCCCATTCCAATTATCTTTCCTGTCCTTCTCACACTGTAGTGATTCAGGTTAAAATTTGCGACAAGGATTTGCTCTGCCTGCATCCCTTCTCAGGCAAATTTCACTCTCTACACATCAGGACTAGTGTAAGAAGCCTATTATTGGGTTCACAAAATATTCAGGACAAGGGCTTGGGTTGTGAATATTGACCCCATGGGTTGCCTGCCCTGCCCCTGTTCCTCATGCAAATGCAGGTCTCTGCACCTCTAGCAAAGACCCAGGCCTAAGTGAATGTTCTTCTCTGCTCCATCTTTACTGGGCTCCAGAATATCCGTAGAGCTGGACCCAGCATAGTGTGTGCACATTGTATTTAGAGCTGTTTTCATGGCTCATTCCCCACTGCTGAGTCTATCAGCAGTCACAGTGTGGGCTTAAAACTAAACTAAACTAAACTAACCCAAATATTCAAGTCCGTAGCTCAGGTTTGGAATAGTAATCACACATACACACACACACACACATGAAAATAAATTGGGCTATTGTTCTATCGACCTCTTGGTCGCTCTTCAAGAATCTCAGCATTGCAGAAAATTTTTTAGGCACTCCACCTACCATCTAGGCTGGCAGTATACACAGCCACATATTCCTGATATAGGAAAACTAGACCAATTTCCCTGCTATTTGCATCACAGAGATCAGCTTGCTCAGTCTAGCTTTTCAAAAGTAGCAAATAACTGAGTCCAATGGTCTAGCTGACGCTACACTGTCTAAATGCAAAAAAATGGACTGATCTTAGACATCGGCTCTCCTATTTCAGCTGAGTGTGTCAGCTGTCTCGTACCCCCTGTGCCAGGCAGACACAGTTCCAGGGTGCAGGGCTGGGGTTGTGACTTGTCATTTTCTTTAGCTGTGGATCAGAACGGAGAAGTAGTATTTCTCCTTTTTTACCTCCGAGTCGCATCAATTGGATCTTAATTCTCCTGTTTATTTGGACTGCATTTTCAAGTGCCAGTAGTACAGATAATCACGTCTTAAATGGACAAGAATTAATTAAACTGCCTTTTCTGAACAGTCAGTTGTTTTTCAAATCTAGAATTATTGCTTAGAGACTTTTTTAGTATTTGATGCAGTAATGGCAAAATGTCTGTATTTTGCTCTGTGTTATGAAATTATGAAAAAATGAAATATGTGGTGATCATTTCTTTCCTTCAACTACATCTATTCTGGTTTATTAAAGAAGACAGCTCTAAAGTTGAATTTTAATAATTTGTTTTGTGCAAGAAGATTAAGAATTTCTCGCAGCAGGCAGATATCATGTGGCTGTTCTCTCCCCTTTTTGAACATCAACAGAATGAACTGGGAAAAAACAACTACCACAACAAATCACGCTTATTATTACTTACATCAGGTACATTCTAACTGCATCATAAGGGTTGCAGACAGGTTTACATTCACAAATTCTTAGACTCCTTCCACTTGAGATGAAGAAGTTCATGCTTGATCTCTGCCTTTGACTTCAGCTACTGTGAAAACAAAATCTCATCAAAGAAGCTTAACTTGAATGTCTGGAACTTAAAAG